GGGCGGCTGCATGGGTGGAATGGGCTATGTCCCTGCACAAGCTGAGCTAACTTCCTTGGCTCCATTCCATCCCACCAGTCCCCTGCCAATTAGCCAGGGCGCAGGGAGACCTCCAGTCTTGGGAAGAGAGTGGGTGGTGAGAGAAGTGATTCTCCCCTCACAGAGGCTCTAGCTCCTCGTCTGTAGAAAGAGGCTTGAGTTGCATCTGGAGGAGACCAAGGGCTTGGGGGCTGGCCTTTTCCAGCCTCAGTGGCAGGACAAAGCTTATAGGCCCTCCTCCTGGCTCTGCCCTCAGGAGGACTCACAGCTGTTGCATCGGCACCCTTAGGCAAACTGGGGTAAGAGAATTAATTGAGAAATCCAGTCGCCCAGGGAGAGGAATAGAGGAATTCTGGTATTTCCCAGAAGCACTGCATGAGGCGCTTTGAAAGGGAGTATGCTTCATCCCTCGGCTGCGCAGGATATAAAGATCCATGGACGTGAAGGATCCAGCAATCTAGAGCCTTCATGTCATCCAGAACATGAAGATCCAGCAATCTAGAGCCTTCCCTGTGGAGTCTCTTATGGTCGAGTTTCCCCAAAGAATACTGGCCCCTCACACTGAGAACTATTTTCCTGCCCATCTGTGTCCCCTCTCCTAACCTCTGGGCCCCTAGAATTTGAGGCACATGTCCTCTATGATCAGAGGACACCCTCTGACACCGGCAGGCTAGCCATGGGATACCTGTCAGCCTCGGAGCTCACCAACAGAGCAATAAGGTACAGTAGTCAAAAACGAGGGTTATGAAGTTTGAAGAAAGATCTGGATTCAAATCCCAGATATCCTGTGTGACTCTGAGTCTTGATTTTATCTGCAAAATAGCCATACTTCAAGAGAGTTAGGGTTTCTAAGTAACGTATGTATATAAAAAGCTTATTATAATGCTCACCACCAAGTAAGCACTCGATAAATGTTAGCAGTTATTATTATACTCTGGGATTTCAGGATGGGCATGTGAGTAGAGATGGAGGCTGGTGGCAGGGAGGGCACTGAAGTGTTAATAACCCTGCTGTGCCCCCCCCCCCCCCCGCCACCACGCCAGGATTCTCCCAATCTAAAAATATCAAGGTGCCAAACTAATTCCTGGGGGTCCCAGCTCAGCTCCAGCTACACTGGAAAGACACAAGGCAGACAGAAGCCCCAGGAAGCCAGGTGCAACTGAGGTCTAGGCCGTCAAACAAATGGAAACGGCATGAAAGCCTGAGTGGGAGACCAAAGGACTGCGGGTTAGTGAGGAGAGGAGGGATACAGTTCCCAACTGCCCATGAACTTGTAAATTACCTTGACGAAGCTCAGAGGGGAAAGGACGTCCATGAAGAAATTGCTCCATGGGTCTTCAAAGGCAGCGTCAGAAAGGAGGCTCATGATCCCACAGTTCATTTCCTGCAAACTGCCCATCCCAGGTCAGAGGGTCTCCCCCTGGCCTGGAGGGTACTGCCGCTGCCACGGACATTTCATGCTGCCCTCAGCACTTTCAAACCTTGGGTACTCATGACCGTGATCTCTCCCTCCCCTGGCTGTTGAGTGCCAACCCCTTGCCATTACTAACTCAGGACAAGAGACGATGACCGGCCCTGATGCAGGCTGAAAGCTCCTAGCTTTCAGACTCCAGAACAAGGGGGGACAGGTCACAGTTCCCCACGGGGACAACTTCGGACTGGCTGGGCTCACCCATCTCAGATATGGGGAAGGGACACTGCAGACACCTACCCAATGACATACATGTCCACACTCAGGTTCTCTTTGTTGAGCTGAAGAAGGTCACTGAGGTCTAGAGGGGGTGCTGCAGAGGCCACGTTCCATGTTGCAACATGAATGCTGTGGAATGGATGGAAAGGCAAGTCGTGGAGGAAGGTGGGTGAGACCCTGTCAGGTATCAAACAGGGGTCAAGGCCTGCACAATCCACTGCAATCGTAATGGGAAAGGCGAGTTTCTGCACCTGGGCATGGGAAGAGGAGCACTGAACCTCAACTTGTCATCCTCACTTCGGTCCTGAGGCAGGAAATTTCCATCCTGTTTCGGCTCCCCCATGCAGGCCCACCACAGCTGCCCACACTTGGCAGCACGGGTGCTGCTGACATTAGCAAGGCTGCCCAAAGGTTTCCAGGTCAGGCAAGAGAAGGCGTGGGTCGTCAGGAATTTAATAATTCCACCAGCCATTCACACCCTGGGGCTCTTAAGATCACCAGGAAGATTCTGGAGGTTCAGTTTTTACTTTGTAAGAGGCCTCAGCACTACAAGACAGGAGAATTTCAAAAGTAACAGAGAAAACAATACCACATGCCCTTCCTTCCTTCTTCCTAGGAGGTCCCTGGAGCATAACCAATTCTGCCAAACATTTCAGGGAGCCCAGGGAGAAGATCCTAAATAACAAGGTTCTCAGCATCTCTCTCAAGAGTCTACCCTCTTTTGGGAAAAGTCGTCAGTTGGATAACATCCTCAACCTTGGCTTCATGCTAAGGAAGTAACAGAACTTAGATCAGCAGCTCTCAATAACATGATCCCATCAGAGTCTCAGGGGGGACACTTGCAGATCCCTTTAACTGAATAGTTACAACAATACTCCAAGACAGAGCCAGACTCTGCTTGGTACAGAGCAGGCAGGAGCTACTAACCCTGCAGAGACCAAAGGCAGCCACCGATCCCTAGGTGAGTCCTAGGGACAGACACCATGAGGAGGACGACCTGCAGCAGCTGGAAACCAAGAATGGGAGCAGCTACAGGGGGGTTGAAAGAGGTGGGAGAAAAGGGCAGGATGTCCAAAACCATCTCTTCTCCACCAGATCCTGTTCTTAGAGGTCCATGTTCTAAAAGGCACAATTTGAAATTCTTGGCCTTTTAAAACAACTTCCTGCCCCTCCCTATGAACATCAACAAAACAATGCAGAAGCCACCTTCCTAGGCATTCGGCCAGAGATTCTGGGCTTCGTTTGTTTAAGATCTCCCCCTGCTGTCCAACAAAGGATTAAGAAAAGCAGCCTTTTTAGTCCAAAGCTCTTTGTTTTCCCGCGGACCAGCTCTACATGGATGGAGAACAAAAGTCGGGATTTCTTGCCCTCGCTCTCAGATCCGACGACCAGCAGCAAATCCCTGCATTGTGACTTGCACTAAGTTGGTGATTAGCGCCGTTCTTCGTTAAAGAGCAAGCACGGGACCAGGCTATATTACTTCGCTAAAGCACCTTACCTAAATCTGATTTCGGATTTCAGGAGGTCACAATGGGATCAGGCAGATCCCGTGATGTACTTGCTGATCAAAAGAACAAGATTTCTATTCTAGAGCCGCCTGAAGAATACCTTGTTCTGTCTTTAACTTCAAACGGCCCGACACCGCTGCCTCCGCCAGTAGCAAACCGAGACACCTGCTTGGGTCGCCCAAATAGGAAACGAGCACGGCGGCTTGAGTTTGGAGGGAGCGCGGGACTTGGGCCCCAAACAGCCCGCCCGGCATTGGCCTGGGAGAACTGGGGAGGGCCTCTGAACTGGAGTCAGCCCTGTAGGCCTGGTCCTTTCCCTCCCAGTCTAGTTCTACCCCAGATCCGCAGCCTGGAATGGGTAGGAGGCAGGGATCCTGCCCGGAGCAGACCGGCCTGCCCGCCAGCGCTTTCCTCACCAGAGCGTCTTGCCTCTCGGTTCGGTCGGTTTCCGTGGGTTCACGGCCGCCATTGTCCCCACGCAGCGGCCCGGCCGGCTCGCGTGTCCCCGCCGCAGCGGCTCCCGGCCCGATCCGCCTCCCTCCGGCAGGAGGTCCCGGCCAGCTTACTCTCGCCGGTTGTTTTCCTTCCGGATTCTGACCCTCCGCCTCAGCTTCTTTAAGAGGCGGGGCTTGAGGGCACGGAGGGCCCTGAGTGGCTCGGCCCGGGGGAAGAGGCGGGACGCTCCAACGAGCGCGAAACAGCGAAAGGCTGAGAGGAGAGACTTAAGGGATCCGAGACGTAAGAGAGGCGCGTCTCCGTGTCGTCAAAGCCCGACGCAACAATGCCCCGCCCGACGCGCCGGGCATCTGTCACCCCGTGGCTCCCAGGGTGCCCCGCGCAAGGCCGGCCGGGAGGGGCTGTTTTCCGGCGGAAGCTGCTGCAAGGCGCGCACGAACATCCTCCGCCCGGCGAGCCTCGCTACAGTCGGAGAGGGGGGTCGCTGACCTCTGTTGTGCCCCTTCGCCTTCCCGGAGGTCCGAAGGGCGAGGGGTGAGGGTGGGGTGAGGGTAGGGTGGGGTGGGGTGGGGTGGGGTGGCAGTCCAGCCACTGCCCTGCCTGTAAACCAGTCTCTGCCCCTCACCTACAGTTAATGGCTCTCACGTTGGTCATCAAGCTCCTCCGTCGTTCCTCTCCACGCCTACTTTCAAGCGTTTCTCGCTTTTCAAACTCGTTAGGTCACTTATTACACATTAGACGTAGGAGGTTCCTGGACTGTTAGGAAATTAGCCACCAAGGAATGAAAAATCACTGCCTGTATTTGATGAATAGAACTGAAGATTGCTTTGCCAAGGAAAAAAACAGATTTTCTTCAAATAACTGGTTCTTAATCTTTTTTGGCCGTGGGGAGGGCGGTGCATGGAATTCCTTTGGGGATCGGATGAGAACGACTCCTCAGAAAAATGCACAATTTCACAAACGAGTTTTATGAGGTTCACAGACCTGGAGCTTTTTTTTTTTTTTTTTTAATAAATGTTTTGCTGGGTAGGATGGTAAAAAAGAGGGAGATGTGAAGAGGAGGGGAGACCAAAGCAAAAAGGAAATCCTGCCAGTAGAAAATGGCGGAATTCCTCTCAAATATGAGATGTCTGCATAAGTACAATGAGGATGGGATGTTTCAACTTCTAGAAATCGAGTTGCAAAAAATTTTGGAGATACCTTGTATTTTTTCTAATCCTGGTAAAATGGAGGACAGCAGAAGTTGGAGGGTATCTAAATTGTAAAATGGACATAAGGACATCACCAATAAGCTGGACTCCAGAAAGCTCTGTCTAGGATTTTATTAGACTGCTTTCCCCCCCAATATACCTGTTTCGGAAGATTGAGACAAAAAGGCACAAACTCACATTAAATAAAGGTAATCTAATCAGTTCTACAAAGTGTATTTTGTAAAAGTAGCACTAGGAACCAACCAAAATAAGTCAGGGAGTCCCAGCAGGGACTGTAAGAGAACTTGGGAAGATACACACATGCCCACAATACTGACCCCGTCCCTGACCTCTCTCCGTGAGAAGGCCAGAGTCCTGCATCCCCCCTTAACAGAGGCACTGCTGCTTCAAACTGGGACTGCGACCCTGGAAATCTAATGGAAGCAGCTAGTCTGCAGGGGCATGGCACGCCCTCAGGTGCTGTTCCTGGAGCCGAGCCTTGCATCAGAAGCCCCTCTGGTTGCTAGTCAGTCTGGGGGGTGGGTGAGAGGGTCAGGGGGGTACTTAAAAGCCAACACTGTTGCCCAGCAGCAACACTATCCGTGGGGATAGAACAGACCAGGGAAACCCCTCATTATGTTTCTGTGGGTTGGAGCCCCAGATCCAGCTGACCTCGGGAAATTCTAGCTCAGCTCATGTGGATGCTTTCAGACTGGGGCAACAGGTGGAGGTGGGAGGAGCCAGAGAAAAGCCAGAGAAAGAGCGAGCCCCCACCGGAGTTGGAGTGATATGTGTGGATCTGCGAGAAGAGCTGAAGCAAGGAGACTACCATCTGCTGACCCTCAAACCGCCTGTCTGCTTTGAACATCATGGTTCGTTTCTCCCAGGAAAACCCACAGCTGGACTTAGTGGATGAGTGAGGAAGGGAGAACTTGAAGCACAAATATAATTATAGCTAATACAGAGCTTGTAGGGAAACATTTACATTTTTCTCCAGTAGGAATGCTTCGCTTTCCCAGTCAAATAGAAGCTACCAGCAGTCGGGATCCTAATAGCCAACTGAACTGCCCCAGATCCATTACTGTAGACCCTGCAAGATGAGAAGACTGACAGGAAGGTGCAACAGGACGTTTCCTGGTCCCAAAGAGGCCTCAATGAAGGTGGGAGCCAGCCACACTGAGGGGTCTCAGTCTGTCCACTGTTGCCCCAGCAGGGCCACAGGGAAGCATGCATCAGGATGTCACGGGTGCAATCCTGTGCAACACTCCCTTATTGCACTTAGAGATGAGTAAGGCAAAACAAACTGACAAGAACATAAGGATAAATGATCCCATCCTACTTCTTGCTCCCCCAACACAGATTTGGTCTCTTATTCCGCCGCCACACCTGGGCTGGCGTGGGCTTGGGTCACAACACGCCTGGCTAACACATACCTCACAAGGCGGATGTCGGATGACACCACAGCTATCTCGGATTCTCCCACCGGGAAGGCGCACTTGGGTTCTGCCAAGTCGTACAAGACTACGAAGCACTTAGCAGCCTCTACCTCCCTTGGAGTCTGGACTTATTCACCGGCCTACTGTGGCAGAGCTCCATACCATGATCACTACTTGCTTTTGATTGTCCAGGACAGAACTCAGCATGGGGGCGGGATGAGCTGAGTTCCTGATCCCCAAATTCCTTTCCAGCCACTGGAGACAAGAGGGAACATGTTCTGCTGGGGAAAAGCTTTTTGCATGCTCGTTTTGTGCAGCATGAAAAGATCGGGACCCTTGTGTCCTGACCAACCTCAAAAGACAGAGGACAGGAATCTGAGAAAGCACAGAGAAAAGAGGATTATTGCTGAGTGGCAGCACCAGCCCAAAAGGGAAGAGGAGCGTGGACATAGAGAGCTCCTCAGTGGGGCGGGCAGACTAATTAGTACACACAGGGCAGACTTAATTCTAAGGGCCACACCGGACGGGTCCCTCCAGGTGGAGAGCGGACCAGGGTGTATTGTGGGCTCTGCGAGGTCCAGACAGATCGGGCAACAGGAGGGCCGAGAAGCCATAGGTGTTTCTAAGACTAGTGACCGGGAGATGCAATGCCTGGGGCAGAGGTTATTTGAATTTGTTGACTTTTTAAAACAGACTGGCTGGGCCCTGGGCACTTCCTTGGTGCCTATAGTGCACGAGCAATGGGGATGCTGAGAACAGAGATCACAGTTAGGAAGCCACACTGCTGTTCTGTGGAAATGGAGGAAAAAACTGTATTTCCAACTCATCTCCTCTCCCCAGGGGAGCACTCAAATTTGCAAAGATCTGCCCAGGAAGCAAAATACCTCAGTTTATCCCAAGGTTGAAAACAAACAAACTTAAATCATTTCAATCACCACATCACAAAAGGCAGCTATTTTGAAAGACTAAAAATGTCACTTGGAAATAAAGGGAGGGGCACACAGAAATGGGCTGAGAACACAATGGCTGCAGAGGGAGGAGCTGTAAACACAGCAACCTACAGGCCATGTATCTCAGAGGAGCAGTCTCCCGTACACGCGGGCTTCGTAATACCAGACGGTCTATTTGTTCACAATATTGAAGGGCATCTAGAATTAGCTACAGTAAGGGATCGAAAGTTGCCTGAAGAATGGGCACAGATAAAGGCTGCGTCCGAAGATGGCCTGTCACTCGGGAGGGTGGAGCTGCTGGGCCTTCCTGTTGACCACTGTCTTGCAAAACTAGAAAAGAAATATAATTATTAAGGAAGCAACAGAGGAAAATAGGAGCACACTGTAAAATCGTCACTGATGGGGGAATTTCAAAAGGAGGAAAGATGCCAGTCCGGGAGCGGGGGGTGGTTAGGGTCAGGGGAAGACTAAGGTCCAAGCAGCTGGCAGTGCCAACAATCCACTTAATCTTACTGTTTTATCTCCCGGAAGTTCTCAAGCACGTGAGGCAGGGAGAGCGAGCTGAGGTCTGCACTGCTGTTGTGACCCCAGCCGCCTCAGCTCCGTAGTGTTAGAGGACAACCAGATTTCATCTCATAATTTTCTCTCAGAGCCTGATGGGAAGCAGGGCCAGGTTTTTAATTCCATGACCAAGCCCACTCTTAGCTGCCAGAATACCACCAAGTCTGGAGGTATGCGGGGCCCCGGGAGCTAAGAGAAGGGCGGGGCTCAGTCAAGAGTGACAGCATGAAGCAAGGAACGTCTCACTCTGGTCCTATGACCCGGGCAGAAATACTCTCCGAGCATCTGCAAGATGCCGCCTCTGACTGGGGACAGCTGCTTAGTACGGGACCGGGGGGTCTGAAGAGGAAGGGAGCAATGCCGCAGACACGATGGACCTTAGGAAGGGCTGTCTGGCCCGCGGATTTTCCAAGGGCGGGGCAGGTAATGCCGGCCACCAGGAACTAGGAATGAGCCCGGGTGTATAGAGAACACCCCAGAATGCCAGCTTCCACTTGACGTGGCTCTAGTCAGGAGAGGGAGAGGAGTTAGTTGCGGATAAGCTTCAGTTCCGTGTCCACTGACACAGCCCACTCCTCACCACCACCAGGTCCATGCGTCTGACTGGGCCGTCGTTACAAAATCAGATGCCCCCGAAATGTCCTAATAGTCACAGCATGTTTCAGTGTCAGTCACCACTACCAGATGGATGAAGCAGGCTTCCTGACTCCACAGCGAGCCGCTGAGGCCCTGACACCCAAACTGGCTTTCACGTCTATGACATGCAAAAGGGAGAGTGTTGGGTACATACAGTGCAGAAGGGAGAGGGGTGGCTTTAGTCATCCGCGGTCATTCCTTTCACTGGGTCCTTTTGTCTCATCTGGAACAGAAAAAAAACAGGAAAAACTGAAGGCTCTTGCTGCTGCTGGAACTCCAACACAAATACATCCCGCCTTCTCTTCAGTCCTGCCAGTGAAGAGGGTGGGACATTTTTTGGGCACAAAGCGAATCAGAAGAGAATTCTGCACACATACAGCCAAAGCCATACCACATACAGCTCCATGTATGTGGATTTCTGGTCCTCGCCCTGCATCGCAGTGCTGGGGTGTAGCTCGCTCGCTCATTCATTCATTCATTCATTCATTCATCAGATATCTATGAAGCAACTCCTTTGAGCTAGAAACTGCACAAAACTGCTTCAGGCCTGAGGTTTCCGCAGTGAACCAAGAGAGACCAAGTCTCTCCTCCCGGTGATTACATCCTGGGGCAAAGTGGGGGAGAACAAGTTAACATATGTGCGGCAGGCTGCTTGGCACAGGAGTGCACTCCGCCCACGTCACCAGGGACCTCGGCAGTGTCCTGCGGCCACGGGGGCGAGGGCTCACGAGCTCTGGGGAACCGGGACTTTGATACTACCTTCTCCTCAGGTTTCTGTTTTGTCCGCTAAAGCTTCAACGCTCCCACGTCTGCAGAGATGCTGCCTCAGAAGCAGTAGCTCTCCGCTAGGAAGTATTTTCAAAACACTCTTCCCGCCACATTTCAAACTCCTGTCCATTGGTCACACTCCCTGCTTTCCCCAACTATCATACTCAGTGAGTCCATGTGGAACCCGGATGTGGTAAAAAAAAAAAAAAAAAAAGAAAAGAAAAGAAAAAAATTCTGGAAGTTCCGATATTCACTCCCTATTGACAACTTTTACTGCAATTGCATCAAATGTCTCAGCTTGGTCTTTCGGTTCAGAGTTTCCTACTTGAGCAAAAGAATTGCCCAGGCTGCTTGTGGTCGATTTTGGGACCTGAGACCTGATAAGTCAGAACCTACAGGAGACAGACAGTAAGTGGGTCATGAGATCAGCCAGTCTTACACGCCTCACTTTTCATCATCCCCAGCAAAGATCCTCTGTGCCAAACAGGAAGATCTGTTTTCTGACATGAAGCCAGTATGTGCTTTTTCCTCCCTCCACCTGAGTGCCTGTCCCCTGTCGATCTGCTCTAAAACTCACGTTCATGAATGATGACTTTTGATTTTTATTGCTCCTGTAACTTCAGTTATCTGTATCAATTAATGCCTCTTAATCTATTACTTTATAGGAGTTTACCAAATTTAAGATTTTTCAACATGACAGAAATCTATTAAGGATAAGGGCACTGTTACATTTTTAAGAAGAGGAAAAGTTTACCTTGTAGTGTTAGGCTGGAAATGGAAGTATTGGTGTGAATGTACATACGAAAGACAGATCTGGAAGTAACTACAGATGTGAAAGTTCCCCAGCTCTGTCCCGTGAGCAACAGCCCAGCAGTAACGAACACACCCAGGACCCTTCACTGAAAGGAACCAGAGCTCCTTAGAGACAGGGCCCCAGGGCTGTCTCACGCAAATAAAAAGACAGAGGCACCTGGGTGGCTCAGTTGGTTGAGCGTCCAACTTTGGCTCGGGTCATGATTTCACTGCTCGTGGGTTCAAGCCCCACATCAGGCTCTGAGCTGACAGCTAGCTCAGAGCCTGGAGCCTGCCTCGAATGCTGTGTCTCCTCCTTTCTCTGCCTGCCTATGCTCATGCTCTCTCTCTTTTTCTCAATAATAAATAAATGTTAACAAAATTTTTTTAAGAAAAAGAAAAAAGAAAAAGACTAACCTGTGATACCTGTGCTTTGAGTGGACAAAGATAACCTGACCAGTAAATGGACAGAAAGACAGCTACAATGCAATGAAAGAACACCAAATCTGTGACAGTCTGGCCTAAAACATATAAACCGGATCTAATCCTGCAGAATCACTCAATAAACCCAAACCGAAAGACACTCTACATAATGACTTACCTATGCCTATAACCTTCAAAAATGTCAAGGTCACGGAAGTCCAGGAAAACTGAGGAACTGCATCAGACTGACAGAGACTAGAGGTACAGTTTGTGACACTGGGCTGTATCTGCTCGAAAGGATAGAGGTCTCTGGGGAGCCTGGGTGGCTCAGTCAGTTAAGCATCTGACTCGATTTTGGTTCAGGTCATGATCTCCCAGTTTGTGAACTGAGCCCTGTGTTGGGATTCTCTCCCTCTCTCTCTGCCCCTCCACTGCTCTGTCTCTCAAAATAAATAGGGGTGCCTGGATGGCTCAGTCAGTTCAGCGTCCAACTCTTTATTTCAGCTGGGGTCATGATCTTGCATCGCAGTTCCTGGATGGAGCCCTCTGTCGGTGCGGAGCCTGCTTGGGATTCTCTCTCTCCCTTTCTCTCTGCCCCTCTCCAGTGCTGTGTGTCTGTCTGTCTGTCTGTCTCTCTCTCTCCCTCTCTCTCTTTCTCTTTCACAAAGAAAAAAATAAACTAAAAAAAAAAAACTTAAAAGGAATGAGTCTCTGCATAAAGGGGAATACAGAAAATTCTTTGTATTTTTCTTGCCGTTTTCTCTAAGTTTGGACTTTTAAAATAATTTTCATTTTTTTTATTTGAGAGAGAGAGAGAGCACATGCAAATGGGGACAGAGTGAGAGAGAGAATCTTAAGCAGGCTCCACGCCCAGTGTGGAGCCAGACACGGGGCTCTATCCCATGACCCTGGGATCAGGACCTGAGCCAAAGTCAAGAGTTGGCCACTCAACCGAGCCACCCAGATGCCCCTAAAAATAAAAGTTAAAAAAAAAAAAATTAAAGTATAGCTGGTGTACAATATTACGTTAGTTTCTGTGGACAATACAGTGATTTGACAATTAGATACATTAGGACACATTCACCATGTAAGTGTGTTTGCCACTGGTCACATACAGTTATTCCACTACTACTGACTGTATTCCCTGTGCTGTACTTTTCATCCTGTGACTTACTTATTTTTTTTTTAAGTTCATTTAAGTGTGAGCAGGGGAGGGGCAGAGAGAGAGAGAGAGAGGGAGAGAGAGAATCCCAAGCAGACTTCGCAGTGTCAGTGCAGAGCCCAACGTGGGGCTCAAACTCACAAACTGTGAGACCTTTACCTGAGCCAAAACCAAGAGTCAGACACTTCGCCAACTGAGCCACCCAGGCTCCCTGTGACCTACTGATTTTATAACTGTTTCACCCACTTCCCAATCCCCCCTCCCCTCTGGGAACCACTACTTAGTTCTCTGTATTTGAGGCTGTTTCTGTTTTCCTTGTTTGTTCATTTGTTTTGCTTTTTAGATTCCACATATAAGTGAGATTATATGGTATTTGTCTTTTTCTGACTTATTTCACTTAGTGTTAATACCCTTTTAGGGTCCATCCATGTTGTCACAATGCAAGATTTCATTCCTTTTTATGGCTGAGTCATATTCCATCCATTTTATTTACACACACACACCACATTTTCTTTATCCATTCATCTACTGATGGACACTTAGGTTGTTTCCATATCTCAGCTCAAAATAAATGTTTTGTTTGTTTATTTTTTTATGTCTTTTATTTTGAGAGACAAAGACAGTGAGTGGGAGAGGGGCAGAGCGAGAGGGAGACACAGAATCTGAAACAGGCTCCAGGCTCTGAGCTAGCTGTCAGCACTGAGCCTGATGCGGGGCTCGAACCCACAGACTGTGAGATCATGACCTGAGCCGAAGTCGGATGCTCAACCGACTGAGCCACCCAGGTGCCACGGAAATAAATGTTTTAAAAAGACAAAAATGAGCTCATTAACTGTTTGCTGACTACTGACCATTCACATAAATTTTCCATTTCTGAGAGGCTGAGGTTTAGAACCAGGGGAGCAAAGCTCCTTAGGCCTCACCCAGTTCCGTGTACACCCTCAGAGTGTACTGCCTTGCTTTAATTTATGAATGCAAAGCCCGGTCCTGTTTCCTACTGCTTAAGATGAAATTTCCTGTCAGGGACCATCATAGCTTCCCCTACTCTCAGAGACAAGGTCACCTCAGAGGGTGCCACTGAAATAAAAATGCATTATTTCATTCTTATAATGAAATGCTCTAAGAATGCTTATTTCCTGTCTCCTGGGGCCTCTCGGACACTGAGAGACTTTATCTGATGGTTGTTCCTCCAATCAAGCTACTGCAGGCTGCCTATGTGGTCAAGGAATATGAAAATAGAAACTCCAGTCCTGGTTTGGCTTTTTTGTTTTGTTTGAGGAAGAGAAAGAATGTGTGTACACGCACATGTGCGCAAGCAGGGGAGAGGGGCAGAAGGAGAGAGACAGGGCTCGGTCCCACAACCCTGGGATCGATCATGACGTGAGCCGAAATCGAGAGATGGAAGCTCAACCAACAGAAAGTGTCAGTTGGACCAGGCAGTGATTTTCTCTAGGGAATGAGGCCAGGGTTTGGAAGAAAGGAACTTTTATTCATCTATTTATTTTTTTACTTGGACTTCCATTTTTAAATTTTTCTATATTTATAAATTTTTAAGATTTTATTTTTGGTGCACCTGGGTGGCTCCGTCGGTTAAGTATCCGACTTCGGCTCAGGGCACTATCTCATGATTCGTGGGTTCAAGCCCCACATTGGGCTCTGTGCTGACAGCTCGGAGCCTGCTTTAGACTGTGTGTCTCCCTCTCTCTCTGCCCTTCTCCCACTGATGTTGTCTCTCTGTCTCTCAAAAATAAACATTAAAAAATTGAAAGAAAAAAAGATTTTATTTTTAATCTCTACACCTAACATGGGGCTCAAACTTACAACCATGAAATCGAGAGTCACATGCTATATTGAATAAGCCAGCCAGGTGCCCCTATTTTTCTATATCTTTTGAAAATTGTTTTTACTATTAAGTATGAAATACTTTGATTAAAAAAATAGTAAAAGTTACAATGTCAATATCTTGGTTGTGATACTGTACTATAGTTTTGCAACATGTTGTCATTGGGAGAAATGGATCTCTTTGTATTCTATTTATTTTTTTAAGTTTATTTATTTATTTATTTATTTTATTTTTT